ACACCATGTAACAAACATCTGTCTGCGTGTTTTCGTTTAAAGATGGCCTACGCACATTTAAAGATGGCCTAAAAACACATTTTATAAGAACAACGAGGCTCTATTTCTAAAATAATAAAAACAAAGCAAGAACATTGCGAGTCTCAGTTTTTCGAAAACTGTTTTCAGATATCTACAAAAAAGTTTATTTATTACGGAGTTTATTACCTAATCAACAGCTTTAATTGAAAACAAAAATTGCAACTGATGAGAAATGGCACAAGTTTTTTTCACCGGTATCATTGTGAAAATTCATTGGCAGCTTAGAACATTCGTAAATATGGACAAACTTTATCAATCTACGTCGCCATGATTTAAGCTCCAATGGTCTTGTGCGACATGCTGTTGTCAATCTGTTTTAAAGAATAATTCAAAATAGCGACAATATCATGAGGGAATAAATCAAGTACCAAAATTGAATAAATTTAGTTTTGACTGCTTAAAACCACGTTTCGAGCATATACTCTTCATGAAGTCACTGTCGTTATTAGAATGAAGTACCACACGCAACTTACGTATGCAATATATCATTTCGAATGGTGTATAAACCATGATTGTAGCATTTAGAAACATCTGGTTGGGTTTTTTAGAAACAAGGACCGAGGCACTAATTCAGATTATACATCAAAATATCAAACGTCTGATACATTGCATACATTTGACGTTTTGGTGTTATTTGCGAGTCAAAGTGAAGATATAAGGTTTTGGAGAGTCGAATAAAGGGCGGTAGGGAAATTTCTTTAATCGTCAAAAGCATGAAAAGAGAATAGAAATGCTAATTTTAGAAAAAAGTAAACAAAAATGAGTTGTATTGAGATTTAATCTTGTTAGAATGACATCATCTATATCGCTAGAGAAATCTAAGGTCTGCTGTGAAGTTACAACAAACTTGGACTTCTGCTTTCAATCGATGAAAAGAACAGCTACGTTCTATTGATGGTCAGCTGGGATAAGAACATTGAAGATGTAGCAAATTTTGGATTGCATTGTTAATATAGTTGGCGTTTAAACTTCCTTTTTGATAACACACTTTAAAAGGGCATTGAGCCTCAGTTAACAAAAATAAAACAACGTTGAGCGCGCTTTTCTCCAAGGTGAAGTTAAGAAGAAAAATTAAGGTCCAGCCTAATATGAAAAGTTAGAAGTAGCAACAATGTTTTTCTTAAGTTTACATTCATCTTAACAAAACAGCGTATATTTTATCAGTTGATCATCCGCGCTAACAAAATTTCATGTAAAGCTGATGAAATAAGAGCAATTTTAAGGACACCGAGCCACAGGAATAATTACTTGGTTCTTATTTAGAAAAGACACGGAGGTGTATTCGATACTGTATCATTACACGTACGATGTTGCGAGACACACTGGCGAGTATAGGCGCAACGAGAACTCGAATTCTTTCCTGGTTTAACAATTTAGTCAGGCAAATGAGACAGCCAAGGATATGAACACTGTTAAGCTATTGAGGCCTATCTTTCATACACCCTTCCGCTCGTCGAGAGAGCTGATGATTAAAATTCTTCTTCGCTTTAACAAATGCATGTATTATTGAACTGGAGCCAAAAAAATTACACAAGAAATTGTCGTTGCGAGCTACAAAGTTTTCTGGATACATGAAGGAATTGCAATAACGTTAACTGTAAGAACCTACAATGAAATCTTATAAACATAGACCAAGCTTTAAATATTTCTTCTAGAGGTCTGGGCATAGGTACAAAAGTATACTGTGATGGACAAAAGTATACTGTGATGGGAATCTAACGTATTTTCTAAGCGGAGGAGTTCTGTTTTCCAACCATGAATATTTTCTTTCTTTTGATAAAATGAATATTTCATTGTTCTCCATTTCTAAGGGCTGTTAGTCAACTGTAGCTTCAAAATAAGAAGCAGCTGATCAAAATGCATGAAATATCTCCAAATAACAACTAAAGCTATAGCTTCAGGAGGGCAGCGTGATAGTAGAATTTGCAGGTATGAAAACTGGATTTAAAGCTCGAGTAAAAACCAAGTTTTCCATAGACTAAAGTAATATCTCTCTGTTTTATTTGTGTCATCTAACTTTGTATCTATTAGAAAGCTACCAGTAAAAAAACAAAAAAGTTGAAGAAAATATGAAGTAACGCAAGACTACATAAGTGCCGTATTAAAATAAATAAGTTCGCCGTGTTACTCATGATCAGAGAAAGATAGTGCACGTCCTTCTAATTGCGGGAGAACATACAACGCCCAAATAATAAACAAGATACGTCACATTTAAAAAAAAGGGAGCAAAGGGGTTTTACGAATTAGGCCGATGCAGGATTAACAATTTTATTTGCTTCTAGAAATTTCGTTTGCATACTATCTTCTGATTTGAGGCTATAGTTACTTCAATTTCCTACTTCGTCGATTTCAGCCCTCCCTTTTGTAAAGCTGCATAAGATCACAGCCCGATTGCACTGCTAGTTATTTTATCTAACAATTTTTATCATTATTGCAAAGAAAAAGGCAGATTTAAATATCATATAACTTTGTTTTTGTACTGTTTACGTAAACTTCAAAAGCTTGACTATGCTTCAAGTTATTGGTATCATATTCTATCGATAATTATCGATAACTATCAATAACTATATAAGTTGTTGAAATAGTTATTGTTATCATATACTATCAATAATTATCGATAACTATCAATAACTATCAATAACTATATAAGTTATTCAAATAATTATTGATATCATATACTATCAATAATTATTGATAACAATCAATAACTATATAGGTTATTCAAATAATTATTGATGTCATATACTACCAATAACTATCGGTAACATTATCAAGCTATTGAAATAGTTATTGATATCATATTAAAGCATCCATTTTGACTACAACCAATCTGTTTAAGCATGACAGGTCAACAGCATTATACAGGCTCAATCATATGCACTCCTTGATGTCTCACTTTATATTGCGTTATGAATGCAGCAGGTATAACAAGAAATCGTGTTGAAGTGTGCATTGTACCTTGTTAAAAACACAAATACAAACCGACAGAATGACTGACTCGAGAATAGTATAATGATTCATTTCCTTTATAATCTTAATCTCGGAAAAGCAAGTGGTGTTGCAAATGTATTTTGATGTCAAACCCATCATAGAAGACCGAATTCATACTTGACAAATAAAAATATAATGGATTCATTGGTAAAAGCATCTTAGCAAGAAAAGCTCAATGCTAACTGCTGATAAATAGGTTTATTTTGTTAAATTTGGAAGTTTTGAATCAAATTCCCTTGAATTTAAGTGTAAAGACTGACATAATTTGGGGTAAACATACTCCTATATTATGTCAGCTAATGGAAATTTGTTCTGAATGCTACAGAATAAATAGATTTTTGTATATTTTGAAGTAAATATCAAAATTCATTACATATTATGAAAATAGGAACTAAAGGAGACCTGTGTTCTTTTTCAATTCTCCTGAACATAAGTTAGATAGGCCCTAATTATATTGGTCAGATTGATAACAAAATGATAATATATAATGGTTACATATTTAAGATTTAAGTGTAAGCAAAGATAAGATTGTTAGCAATTGTCGCAATTACAAATTTCACAGTTCTTATTCCTCTATGCATCACCTTTCAAGAATTTTGTTGTTGTTATGTGTTCTCAACAAACCCAATCTATATCCAAAGCATCAAAATTTTAAATCGTATTAAACAAATGCTTTTAACGAAATATAGGTCCAGATGTGTGAAGATTTTTGAAAGATAGAGGGTACAGGGAATTTCTATCATGCAAAATGAACTTGTTTTTGACATTGCGTTTGCCTAGGCTTGTCCTTTCCAAGATTATTCACCCTTTCTTGTCTTTCCAAGAACGATAATTCAGAAGTATTTACCAAATTGCATACAGTGATGGGTGACGAATGAATCTATGGAGGAAACATGAAGGTCACGTATTGTTTTGCGGGGTGACTCACATGGATTTTGAAACCAACGACTAAAATATGGCGGACATTTCTTTGAAACACGGATTAGCTACAAGTTTATGAGAGTTTCTTGTCCGTTTTTATTTTTGAAGGATTTAATTTCTTTTTGTGTCGATTATGACAGGAAAAGAGGATCTAGATGGGGCAGATATTTGGCTGTGGAACCTGTGCGACTTTTAAGCACACGAGTACTCATTTAGATTACTCTGGAAATGGACATGGCGACCTTCGGTAACAATGTCGTCCTATTACAGGGAAGTCCATTCTATTATGAACGGTTGTTAGTTAATAATCAATTGTATTTCTTTATATGTGGCTTCATTACGGTGTGTTAACATGCTGTGTTGTTCGACTGATGTATTCCATATGGATGAGGGCTTTGCAGACCTATTGGGTATCGATTTGTACTGCTTTATCTGTGTATTAAGCATAGTCTAACATTTAAAGAATTCAAATGATTCCTACCTTTGCAAATTAAAATGATGAAAATTAGATAAATGCATTTTAAGTTTAAAATGCGAGTAATTACTTAAGTGCAGTTTTAAATAGATCAACTCTACCACCATCACATGTAACAAAATAATTGTTAGTGTCTGCTAATATGCATAGTGTATTCCAATTCTCATTTATATTAAAATTGGAAAAAGTTTCAAAATTTTAAATTATATTGTATTCAGTATTCAGTGCTGCAGTAGCCTCTAGTTACCAGCTCAATTCATGTCTATTGGTGGTCTAAGCGAGGGTAGTTGTAGCAATAGCCAAGCGAGCAATTGAGCCTTTGGTGCAAGACTAAAGTACAGTCTCCACACAGCTCAAAACAAGCAAATGTCCCGAACGAAAAAGTGAAAGGCTAAACGAGAATTGGTATTGCAAATGACCTCTTCTTTATAATGAGACTTTCTTGCAAAAGAATGGGCCTAATCACTGAAAAAGCCTTTAAAATCCCCCCCATCTACGCCACCTTTTCGGTTACTGTATTGAAAGCACTTACCGAACTATTTGTTAGTGTTTCAATAATATCTTTAGCTAGTTCTGTTGCAACAAAGGAGAAATGGGTCTCCATTGTTTCTCGCTCTAAAAACCAACCATGTGACGCCATTAAATCGAAGGACCAGAGACCATGATCATCACCTTAGTGTAACTATGCCAGCAATGTAGCAAGCTTTTTCTTTCATTGCACCCCCGCCAGTGTTGGGTGCATGGCTACACATCTAGGTTCGACCGGTCACTCTTTGTGAGTGTAATGGGTAATCTAGAGAGGAATGATCAGGGACACGTGGTAAAGAGAATTTAAAATTCAAAATATTATAAACTCACTGCTTGATTTTCTGAGTACGATCCAACTGATAATTCTTTCTGGATACTCTGCACAACGCTGTTTATATCCAGTGCTGTAGTTCCTAAAGAGTTGCTGTGTCCTTGAGGGATCGATGGCTGAGTAGGAAACATTTTCATGATTGCTGGCTGCCTATCGAGCACCTATCTGCGTCGTCTTCGGAAAGGACGGGCTGGCAAGCATCCAACACCGGTTGAGCAGACCTGAAGAACTATTTACAGATGCCTTTCGCTAAAACCCATTGGCCGTAGTCCACTTGTCTAGGCAGTGACTGACAGTCTACATTCTGATTGGCTCTTTAAAAACTGGGAAAACATTTACAGTATGTTTTAGAATTAGAGATCATTTGTACAGTTATGCCAATGAGCATAATTTTTTACATGTGATAAAGTTTACTGTGTGAGTAAGACTGAGTTGCATTAAACACACGATCAACAAAGGGTATGTTTCATGAATACTTAATATTCTTTTCTTCAGTAAACTTCTAAATTTCCTGCTTCCTGACTTAAGCTCAGTTTGAAAAGCAATTGAAACCACAGTCCTCTTTCAATCGGAGATTGGCAGTCTTAGACCAACGGAAGTTGCTCAAGTTGTGAATATCAACCACAATGCTCTTCTAGGGCCCCGACTTGAAAATTACCATTACAACGACGAGTTTTTCAGGAAAGGACGTCTTTCAATACCCAGACACACCATCCGATGTGACTCGTATCTGCATTCCGTTGTAACAATCAACAATAACAAATCACAATGGCGACTGCTTGTTGTTATCTGAAACAATCAGGCAATTGCTCTGTTATCATTTTGGTCAGAAAGTAATCACAGATAAGTAAACACAGCATACGGCTCTATACATAGATTCAACAGGCAGAGAGCTACATTCGACTTTTAAAGGCTATGTTACTTCTTTTTGTCTTATCAACCACTAAAACCTAAAATCATTTTATCGGCTGTTATAAATAATGTTCCTGCCTACAAGTGTCAATAATTGTTGTTCTACAGCTGCCCCATCTCAGGTGCACTCTTTGTGCAGAGGAATGCCTCGTTGATGCCTTGAAACTGCACGGGCTTTTCCCTGGGCAAACATTGCTAAGCCAAGAGATAAAACTTTGCGTAAACGGCCTAAAAACGAGGTAATTTCCTAAACTGTTCTTTGACAGTGGCTTTGGAGCCTTTGTTTATAAAACCTGTCGATTAATCCAATGAAATGATAGACGTATCAAAACCATTCTGCAAAAATTATTCCAAAGCCCACTTTAGTCAGTAAATGAATGGCTCCTAGAATAGCGGACAGCAAAATCTGTCAATAAATGTTGGCTGTTTGTTATCCAGGATCAATCGTTGGTCTTCAAGTGCTTCCCATGCCAATACGAACTTTCGGAAGGTTTTCCCATTTCTTTACGTAAAAGGCCTCCTATTTTAGATGTCTTACTTTTAGAAGCAAGATTGAGTTTATCAAGACATCTGGAAGCGTCGTAGCTCGAGACTTAACGTTTTGAGCTGCAAAGATGCACCAAGCAAGGGGCTTTTATACTGGAAGTTTCATTTTAATTTGCATTCCAATTTGTTAGAATGTTGACATTCAAATAGAACCACAGCTGTTCTTGACTTCTTATCTATATTGTTCACAATAAACATAAAACCTTTTTTACGTTTTCTATAGCAAAAGTGTTTTAGAAAGAGCAGTTGGCCAAATCTTACAGAGCATTTACAGAATGAGAAATGAAATGGAACCTTCTTTATCTGTGTTACTTCACACTTAGGTACCCATTAAAATTGAAAAGTTTTTATAGCCTGACAAATTGTTTTTCTGCAACCGACCAGGATCTCACTCTTAGCAACTCTCTACAGAAGGGAAGAAAAATAGGGATAGAGCTGTGCCTTTAATGACAATAATTACGAATTCCTAAACAAGTGATGATGCAACAGCAGAAAAGACTTTCAGAATATAAAATTATGATACACCCCTTTCAGGGCTATTAATAGCACAGTTGGATTTGAACCAATGGGGGTATTGAAACTTTAAAGTAAATGTTTTGCCATTCTTATTATTTTGTCGGCAATAACCAATTATTTGGTTGTTCCATGCAAATCTGAAAAACCTCTTTTAAGAATGTTAAAATTAGGAGCTACAATAGAGTTTGCTTGAATCACAAGCTAGTTGATAGCTAGAAAAGTTAAGACGAATGAGGACTAAAATTACTCCTACATTTGCGTTTTAAGATTTGAAAGCAGTTTTAAGAATCGCATGTGCCAATGCCTCTGCTTACGCATAGACGTGGGAAGCATTTCAAAAGTTGGGGTAACATGTAGTAGAAACAGGGGCACCACTGTAAGCTGCAAGTAGGTACTTTACTGCTATTGATATTTTGTGAAAGGTAGGGGCACGTGCCCCCTGTGCCCCATGTTTCCTACGTCTATGTGCTTACGCAAATAAGACAAACTTTTGAAGTAAGAGTAAGCCAGGGTTTTAGTGGCATGAAATAGGGGCTTTTTGGCATCAACGAGGGGCCTGAGACTAGACGGGGCTCCTGGACATAAACCCCTGGCGCAAACTACTTCATAGTTATAAAATGTTGTTTCCAAACTTGGTTTTGGAAATAGCAAGAAAAAAGATTCTGTAGAGCATAGAGAGACGCGTATCAATGCAAAAGGAGTCAAGAATTTTCATTTTACATGTAAATCTAAAAAGTTTTGTAGAACGTTAGACAGTTAATCCAGGCAGACAGGCAAGGCAGAGGGGCAACAGAGGCAGGTGGGTAGTAAGATGGGTTGGGGGGCAGGGCAGTGTCAGGCACCGCGCAGCCTTTCGGCTAGCAGGGGCTATAGCCCCCTACTTTTTACAATAATAGGTTAGAAATTTTTAGAAAGTTTACTCTAATGAATCCCAAGTAGTGACAATTCGTCTTGAATTGAAACCCTTTTTTATTCATTTTCTTGATGTTTTATCGTGTAAAATCTTTATAGTAACTGATATCTTCTCTGAATTATTATCGAAAAGGGGCATTTTCCTGCGCTCTAAAGGGGCGCAACCTCAAAAATTCTCTGTCACGCCCTTTTCAGCCCACCAACTTTTAGAACGGTGCGTGGTGCCTGGGTAGTGTGGCAGTTATGTGGGGCAGTTTGATAGAATAGTGTAGGGAGGAAGGGTACAGGGACATAATATAGGACAGGGTATTTGGGCAGGGTAGTGGGGCAGGGTACTGGGGCTTGGTTCTGAGGCAGGGTTGTAGAGCAGGGTAGTAGGCCAGGGTAGATGGCAGTGTAGTGCGGCAGTGTGGTGGGGCAGGTAGTAGGACAGGATAGTGGGGCAGGTAGTAGGACAGGATAGTAGGGCAGGGCAGAATCACATAAAGGCTTGAAGAAGCTTTCCTAGACACTGCAGCGGGAAGGGAGGAAGCATGCGATGCAATCGAGACATTCGTAGGAATTATGTCGTTAAAGTTAATTCAAATGTTTACGTTTCTTGTCTGAAAAAGAGAAAAGCAAAATAAGAATCTTGACTGTATAAAAGTAAAATAGCCTGTTCCCTCGTTTTCAAATTCCTGGCTTCTGTGAAATGGATCGGATTAGCTGGACTGGTTTCATAATTCAACATAATCAATGGGGATTTTGACGTCGTATGGTTGGGTTTTTTTCAAAGAAATCAAAGTTACTATAAAAACTTTATCGAGAGCATCACTAACCAACTGCATGCAAAAATCTTCATCGCTCCGTGCTTGCATATACTCGTGATTTTGTTTCTTTGATAGCGAGAAAACATATTAAGATGAAGCTCTTAAGGAACAGCTACTTAAAGCTCCTTAAAAGCTGATTTAAAGCTCGATAAATTTAGGGTTTTGCATTCAGATCTTTTTGTCTAATCATATTGCTAAATCAACACGTTTATAAAGATTGGTTACTTTCTAAAATATAAAACACCAGCAACGATTTGCGAAAATTTGGCAACAGTAGAACAATTGTCCAAATCGCTTCACTTTGTAACAATATTGCGTTACGACCCGTAACCAAATAAGATATGCTTTTTACGTAAAGTAAATCCAAAGGGCAAATCACTCTGTGAAAATCTCGTACATCATTGGTGGAAATCCTTTTGTTTGATTACAGAAACCAGTATAAATCCATTTGTTTTGGTTTAGATATCGAATACTTTTTCCAAGATTGAAAGTAAGTTGAAATTTTGCAGAAATAGTGATGAAGAGACATGTCGTTTATAAAGTCACTTAGCTTTACGAAGTGTGAGTGTCAGCAAGGAGGGGTGGGGGGAGGGCTAGCGAAGGACCGAGATTTAAGGGGGCTAGCGGATGGATTTTGTTACACCCGTTTTTCAGGGTTGTTTTCCCCTACCCCCTACCCCCATCAAAGTTGTATCTCAATCCGGAATCAGCGCATGTCAATGAGAAATATGCGCGCGCTAATGATCTTGTAAGTCATTTTGAGATCTTTTTATGATACTTCATCGAATTAATCGATCGTTAATATATTTAGTTGTGGTTTCCTCTGACATTCTACCAGGCTGAATGTGCGTGAAATTTAGCTAAGGGTGGTTTGATTGGATTTGAAAAATTGATAAATTGAATCGAAACTGAAAACAAATGATTGTACATTACATTAATCGTTGATCGACATAATCGTTACGAGATTTGTTAATGCCAACCAGATGTATTCAAAATTGAAATATATATAAAACTTTTCTTTCCTTTCTATGTTCCGGCCAACAAACAATCGTTTGGGTAAAATGGTCAAAGATGGATATCAATATCCGTTTGAATTTCTATATTTACCAAAAACTCTAATTGCCATTGTATTGAATAACCCGAAAATGAACACTCAGACATATGCTTTCACAGTGATTAGATTTCGTTGTTTGTACAATGCATTGCTTTAAACATAACCATTAACCGAACAATTAATAAAATGAGTTTAAAATGAACTGATAGCTTACTTCCTGCCGTTACATTCGGTGCTTTTGTTAGTGTTCTCAATCATTCATATCAGCTGTAACCTAGATAGGCCTATTAAAAGGGGGTAGCCACAAACCCTTTCCTAATTAGAGAATTTTAAAGGTAGCACCCTTCATATTTTATTCACGTACAGACGAAATGCTATCAAAACTTTATCACACTTTTTTATTGGAACACTCTAAAAGAACAGACACGATTTTCGGAAAAAAGAACATCTCCAGACACAGGAAACAATGTTTTCGAAAATTGTCTCCTTTGTTAACAAAACAGAAACGATTTCATTAGCTAATCTATCGTGGTACTCAAAAATAATGCAAATCTGTTTTAATGTTCTTAGAAACAACTTATAACATTTAGTGATGGAAAAAATCAATTTTGAAATAATAACAAAGTTAAGAACAACCGAGCCTCAAATTATCGAACAAATTAGATCAACACACCTCGGCCAAAATAGTTGGGTTCTTTCATAAAAAGATT